CACATCAACCAAAAATAATTGATCAGTTTGGCAAAGGCATTCAGTGGTTGTTCAAACCCGGGTTTCTGTCCGCTCTGTTCGGGTTTCGATGGCGAGCTGAAATATCTCAAGTTCGAGATGGTCTGCTCGTAACTCCTAAATTCCCGAGGATAGAACGCAGCTTCCTAAGAAGCTCATAGCGAGTCCCACGGATGTTGAAAAGGGCGTGCAAGGAGCCACTAGAGTGATTATCAGCTATCACGATGTGGGAGCACATGATCACTGTCGATGAACTCGATGACGAGTCAGGAAGGATTTCTGGATCTCAGGGATCACCTCGTTGACCGCCAAGAATGCCCCAAATGCCAAATACCAATTTCTTGTCCCCAATTTCCCTTCCTTATGCTCCGACGCTGGAAAGATTTTATAGCCATGGTGATGCGCCGATCGGATGCCAAACCGGAGTTGATAGGCAAGAGCAGTTTTGAGATCGTTTTCGGTCTTGCCCGTCTTGCCCGGGTTGCTGCAACTCAAGCGCCAAATCCGCCCTGGTGAGGAACCAGCCGTCTTCGACGGCATTGAAAAAAGAGAGAAGCCCTGTAAGACGACCTCATCCAGGTCAAGGAAGAGCGGCCTAGACGAGGTCACCCCTCTGAGACCAAGGAGAAAAGCGCGAATGCCTAAGATCATTACGTACTAGTCTCCCGACTCGATCCTGGTTGCGGCGGTCATGGCCAGGGAAAGTAAAGTCGTGACTGATAAAGAGTTGTTGATATTAATCTACTTTCTCTGTGGGTGTAGGTGCGAAAAACCGATACTGTGGAGAGCACCTCGTGGGTGAGCCTACGCATATTCGTCCCTTCTACGGCAAGTGTGCTCAAGCTGGCATATCATAACGCTTATCCGAAAGAGTACTTCGGCTGCTTATAGAAAAGTCTTCTGTACATGTGTGTAACTGTATAGGAGCATAGCTTGTGGGAGCGAGTAAAATCAAGATTGCAAGAACAAGAATTCTCAGCTAATTAATCGACGAAGGTGAGTGGGAATGGTACAGCCACAGCCGAGCACACAGACTCTATCAGCCGACTCAACTAATGCTTGAACACAGCATAAAACGAAATGCATAAATCCTTGCAGAATTTCTCTCCAGTGATCATCACTGTGTACGGACACACCATACGACTCAACAGCCTTGGGACTCAATTACGTTATAGCTTCTGGTAATAGGTCTCCCTGCTCATGTCTACTCCTGCCCCTGCCATCAGCGTGCAAGCCTATGTCTACTCAAGCGTATCGTACGACGACAATTTCAAAAAAAGGCTACCTTTGGATGACCGCGGTACAGCTATGTACAATAGGATGAATCGAACAGTGAGGAAGCTCGCTGGAACTAGTGTCCTGCCCGATATCCGTTTCCCACGTTAGTCATCCGTTGGCCAGTGCAAAACATCAAGCGTATGAGCTCCATGCAATAGAATGTACGAAACTATAGGTTAAGAGCTGAGCCAAATACATTGCATGTTACGCGATACCTCAGACATACTCTGTACCACACGCAACACTCTCTCTCCTACTTATACATGTAAATTTCACATTGTGGTTCAGGTCACCGAAGATCCAAATGTTACCGGAAGGTCATAGTTTCCTTGATAAGAAGACGACGTATTACGAGAGACCAGTGAAACTTGGCACACATTCGTCAGACGCAGCTCCATTTTCTTATGCACGTGCATCATAAGGTGCGATGCCTAGACTTCATCATAGACCAACCTTACCAGTGAGCTTGACAGCTTAACGAAGGTAATACTACTGAAGAAAACGTCAAATCATATCATGAAGACTGCCGTGAGTTTCAAAAAGCTTGTAAGGGCACATCTGGAACGTCACATATCATAAGTCACATGCACGCCTCTTATCTGGAGTGACGTGCGCTATTTACATGAGACGCGGCACGTTGTTCGGCGATACGTCAAGCAGTGCCATCCATGCCTCTTGACCTACCGAACCCGTGCCTGGCATGAACCTAGTACTTACCAGGCTCTGTCGAGACCTTTTCAGACCCTAGGTCTGGACTTTACTGGTCCATACCACACAGCTGTATGGCACACTGCTACTCTTAAGGTTGTCCTCACCGCTACTGATCTCCTCACAAAGTACTCGGTCCTGATTCGGTTATCCAACGGCGCTTTCTCCGAAGTTCTACACGGGTTACGAAGCATAGCTTGGTCGTATGGAGTACCATGCACTATTGTGAGGAGCAACGCGAAGGTTTTTACCAGCTCTACCTTTGTCCGCTTTTTGCAGGAGTACGGGATACAAGTATACCATACTCCACCATTGTCTCCGTTTTATGGTGGATGGTGTAAAAAGGTACATCGCATGATGGGTATGATGCTCCGCCGCTTGCTACTATCGCGTTCTACCTATTGACTGACCCTTTTACCCGAGACACAATGGATCTTGAATCGTGTCCGCCAAGAAGAGTATGGTGCGTCTCCTCATGAACTCCTCTTTGGTTACTCTGACAACTTACAACACCCGATATTATAACTGTGAGTTCTTCATTTTCCTTCAATAGAAACATGCACATGATGATTATCTGTTTCTAAAGCAATTGTGTTGTAACCACCCGATGCATTTCAAAGGGGTGGAAATTTTGTGAGGGCACATCTGAACCGTGATCTGTACGTCCATTGTCATAAGTCACATGCACGCGTCTTACCTGAAATGACGTGCGCTATTCACATGAGACGCGACAGATGAGACGAGACAGATGAGACATATGTTGCTCGAGACACCTCAAGAATTTTATTCCGGTCGACGGCTTTTATCCATCTGGTGTCACCTACACCTCTATGTTGGGTTCGACAGTGCCCACGGCACCTTTACAAGCTCAATGCACTCATGGAACATCTTGCAAGTTTAGCCATGATGACAAACTTTACGCCGATCCTCCAGGGACAAGCCGATTCGAGACAAGCCGTTTGCCTTGCAGATTCAAAATGAAGTTCGTCATAACTGGACCGCAACGTTGAACAAAATCGATGAATACTGGCATTGTTGCTCGGCGAAAAGTCATCAAGATGCATAAAAATGGCATGACACCCGAAGCTCGACCGAAAGTCAGTCAATCGGTCAGGGACCTCAGTTGTGCAACAGCGCAAATATCCCTCCTACTGCCTTGAGTTGCGATAATGAACTGCGAGCTACCATGTCAGTATGGGTGATTGATGTAATCTACATCATCGGCATCATGTAGGTCACATAGTGCGCGCTGGTCCGTATCAAGCTGATGTGCTTCTGGGTAGCGCTTGATGAATAGATCAATCCGACGCACGGGGTCATCAGGGCTATTTTGGCCTTTTATCTAGAAGAAGATTTATCAAAACCTTGGAGATATGCCGGCCAGGATTCTTGATCGACGAGCCTCCTTTTTCGATACAGCAATGACTCGCATAGAATCATTACTACAAAATGCTCATGAAGTGGGACAATTAACCCAGAGATCCAAGGAGCCTGGAACTCATTCCTACTGCATGAGATCTGAAAAGATATCTGCAACACATGGATCATGTGTTGTCAGCACATTCGTTGAAGTACTGACTTCTCGAGAAGCTTTCCTCGTCGAGGTTTCTTCGTTTTTCTGCAGTTGAGGTTTCCTGAGCGGTGAAGTTAGGCTCGTCATGGTGGTTGCATACATAGCCTCGTTTTTCCCAAGCTCAAAGCTTTGTCAAGACTTGGAAATATAGTTGAAGTTTATATGGATTGTTGAGAATGCTCATCATGATACCATTCTGCTTGGGCGTTTCAAGAAATGCCTCGCCGCAAGCCATCATTCGAGCACCAACCAGACTTAGAAATGATAGCAATATCCTTATGCCAGGTGACATCTAACTCAGCATCCTTAGGCGATATCGAAGTATATTCGGAACTCCTTGGAGGGGAAACACTAAGCTGAGGTACCCTCTTGAAAGACATAATTAAACAAGTGTACCCATAACGTGCGGTAATTAATTGTGCGTTCTGCACTACTTGCGGTTGGCTAGTAGGCTAAACGCAGCATGATCGGGAGATGTTCACCATCTTTTATGTGTTGATTAAACGTCTTCCCTTCCCGCCCTTCTTTGGCGTTGGGGGACCCGGAGGGGTTACATTTAGGGGCTGAAATGCGATTGGGCTCTGATCCTTTCGTGTAACCATGTCCGGGTCTAGTCTCGCAGTGAATCATCATTTTGCGGGCGCCAGTTTCATGTATGCCTCTCCCAATCTCAGCGTCTATGGATTTCTCTCGATATACACAGTATTCCTGTATACATCAAGGGAGAAGTTCTTATTCATTTTCTGATTTGGAACATCATTTCATGGGCTATCCGATTTCTCCTTTCTTTTTCCCTTCTCTTTCCTCTCCTCCCTTCACTTTATTCTTTACTCTTCTTTCCCCTCTTCTTTCTCTAGTGTTCTTATTCTTCTATTTTCCCAGACTGTTGACCACAAGGTCGGTGGTTCGAACCCATCGTGGAGCGTTTGTCCTTTCTGAATCATTCTATCGTTCGATTGAGCAGTTTCATATAATCTGAAAAACGAGAAGACTCTGATGGTACAAGGGAGCGCCTCCGTCCCTGGACAATGTTCTTTTGTACTGTCAAACGAGTATGGGCGATCCAAACGGGTGAACATTGCTCGAGGGAGCGGAGGGAGAGCTGGATCGGAATAGGCTTCGCTCGATCAGATCGCAGTTCTACATGTGCTGGAAATGGATGAGCTCGGACGAGCGCGCAATATGGGATTAGAGCCGTACATCTAAGTGGATAACATTGAGATGCAACTTGCAGCCTCGTCTTGCTGCTTCTCACGCTATTCTGATCATTTGAGTCGTATAGGAACTGCGCACGATCAC